AGAGTCATGAGGGTGACAAGGTGCTGAGGATCATGGTCAGGGTGACTTCTCCTTGGTGACAGGAAATAGCCTGAGTTCTTCTAGAGGTGGCTTCTACCTTTCTTTAGGAATTTCAGGGATTGCTCAGGAATTTATTTAGACCATCTGTGATCTGTCCAGGGTGGTTTACTCACTTGGCAAGATTGAGATTTTCCTCCAGCAGGGTGTGGAAGGAGCCACTGGGATTCAGCTCATGAGACCACTGGGGTCTAGAATGCAGCTGTACAGAGCAATTTCATCCCATCATGCTCTGCCAGTGACTGCTCTCTGTTGCTCTGCTCACAGGCTGAGCACACCCAGGCCCCTGGCATCCTCCCCACTGCGCCTTCAGACGTTTCTGCTCTGATGAACATCCATGTGTTCTCTCCTGCATGGGACAAAATCTGCAGAGGATAGCTGGGGAGCCAAGTGAGCAAAGGGATGAACATCTGGGATAGTGGCAGGGGCACAGGGAAGAAGTGGCAGGCCATTCGATAGAGGTTTTCTGGAAGCACCTTTCCCTCATCCTCCCCCTCTCTGTGCCTAGAGCTCTGTGTGACAACAGGGAAGGAGAAAGAAGTGGAAATGACCTAGGATCCCTGGTGGGATTTCTGTCTCATAGCACTGGGAAGGTGAAGGCTGGTGAGGTATCACCCTGCTCACTGTTTCCATGAAGAATAAATTTCAGTGGATGTTGTGAGGAAAGCTGTATGCAGAGCTGGAGACAGGACCAATGGGTGGAGACTGTGGCACTGTGCTGTGTTGTGAATTCCCGAAGAGAATAATGTTGATAAGAGCGTTTTAGTTAAGCCTTTCGTTAACCCAAATCGAGGACGTTACAGTGTCTCAGGCCCTTCCAGAATGCAGGTGCACAGACAGCTGAGCCTAAAGTGGCTAAAATAATATTTCCTTCCATGGAACTTGATGCTCAGTGTGTAAACTGAGGGGAGCTGGTCAGGTGCTGCCTGTCACTGATGTTAGGGATGGGCTGGGCATTGTGTCAGGGGGTGGTAAGTGACAGTATTGTGCATGACATGGATTTGGTTGAGCTTTATTTCTCTCTCTTTCCCGTTTTATTACTACTTTCGTTTATCTGTGTATCACCACCCATGAGTTTTACCATTTTTCCTATCCCACTAGGGCAAGGGAGTATTGAATCAGTCGCTGAAACACCCAGTGGCTGACTGGACTTAAACAACAACAAGACTGGACTTAAACAACAACAGATGCTGTGTCCCACAGCATCTCCCTGTCCCCACAACTAAGGCATGAGCTGCAGTAGCCCTGACCAGACCTGTCATTCATACTGCAGTAAGGAATTTCCACCTTCTGTTCTTGATGGATTAGGAAAATTTATGTGCACATCGGAATCTCCTGAGCCCTTGCACTCTGTTTTAACCTGGAAATAAAGAGGAATAAGCAATTCAGGTGAGTCYTCATGTCTTGCAGCAAGCAGCAGGAGATGCAGTGGATGGACCAGACAAGATGCTCAGAAACACCAAGAACACCTGCTGAAAACTTTGCTTGGACTTGTTCATGCCAGTCATTGTCCTGGTCACCAGGTTCATTCCATGGCCAAGCTGGGCTGTCTCCTGCTGTGGGCAGGGACAATTCTCAACCATCAGGGTATTCAGATCACAGGGTAGTGGTGTACCTGGTGACCCTGGTGCACAGCAGTGTGCCCATTCCCTGGAGACCACTGGGGTAAGGACCAGTTGGCCTTGGCCTTCCAGGTGATGGAGAAGGAAAAGGACTGTGTGAACTCTTTAACACACTGCTTACCGATGAGTTGATGTAGCAGACTGAAAGGAAGAAGAAATGGATGGGAATGAAGGAAATAGGAAATGGGGTACTGTANCAGCTGAACCTAAACTGGCTAAAATGATATTTCCTTCCATGGATCCTGATGCTCAGTGTGTAAACTGAGGGGAGCTGGCCAGGTGCTGCCTGTCACTGCTGTTAGGGATGGGCTGGGCATTGTGTCAGGGGGTGTTAAGTGACAGTATWGTGCATGACATGGATTGGGTTGAGCTTTATTTCTCTCTCTTTTCTTTTTTATTACTACTTTCATTTATTTGTGTATCACAACCCATGAGTTTTACCATTTTTCCTATCCCACTAGGGCAAGGGAGTATTGAATCTCTTGCTGAAATACCCAGTGGCTGACTGGACTTAAACAACAACAAGACTGGACTTAAACAACAACAGATGCTGTGTCCCACAGCATCTCCCTGTCCCCACAGCTAAGGCATGAGCTGCAGTAGCCCTGACCAGACCTGTAATTCACACTGCAGTAAGGAATTTCCACCTTCTGTTCTTGATGGATTAGGAAAATTTATGCACAAATCAGATTCTCCTGGGCCCTCACGCTCTGTTTTAAACTGGAGATAAAGAGGAATAAGCAATTCAGGCGAGCCCTTGTATCTGACAGAAAGTAGCAGGGGATGCAGTGGATGGACCAGACAATATGCTCAGAAACACCAAAAACACTTGCTGAAAACTTTGCTTGGACTTGTTCATTGCAGTCATTGTCCTGGTCACCAGGTTCATTCCATGGCCAAGCTGGTCTGTCTCCTGCTGTGGGCRGGGACAATTCTCAACCATCAGAGTATTCAGATCACAGGGTAGTGGTGTACCTGGTGAYCCTGGTGCACAGCAGTGTGCCCATTCCCTGGAGACCACTGGGGTAAGGACCAGTTGGCTTTGTTCTTCCAGCTTGGGGAGTAGGAATGGGCTGTGAACTCTTCCACACACTGCTTCCCCATGAGTTGATGTAGGAGACTGAAAGGAAGAAGAAATGGGTGAGAATGAAGGAAATAGGAAAAGGGAATGTCAAACACAGGAATCAGTGTGTGCTGGTGGCAGATCCCCGTTTAACTGGAAAGGTTTGTGCTGTGCTGCACCATCCTTTGAGTCACTGTGGATCTTGTTCAGCACAGAAATATGTGCCAGAGTCATTGAGGAGGGCATGATCTATCTTCACAGATAAACGGTTGTTCTTAGTTCCATTGCTCTGGAAGCGGTTTTTGAATTCCTTCTCAATATCTCCTTTGCTGCCTTCAGCTGCGAATATAATCAACTGCATACCAGCATCATTCTCCATGGGTAACTTGTACCAGGACATGACCCTGAATGCACTCCCTGATCCAGAACATTCCAGAGTCACAGGATCTCCCACGCGGACAACTTTATCTGGTGACTGCTGAAAGGCCCAGCCTGGAAAGACAGAAGAAATGTGGGAAGATAAATGCAATGAAGAGGAGAAAAATACAGACCTTTGAGATATGTCACAGAATGGAATGGAATGGGATGGAATGGAATGGAATGGCACGACTATCAGAAAGGTGTGGGAGAGTTTATCCAAAAAGAACATGGAAGATCCAAAAACCCTATTCTAACCAGCTGGAAATACAAGAGTAAATCTGTTTTGAGAAATAATGACTTCAGTACTGTCTAGTGAAGTATTTAAAAGGGACAGGAAAAAGCAAATTTCTACTTTTGCAGACTTCTCTGATTTAGGAGGCCGTGAAAAAGCTTACCTCATTCATTGCCCACCCTTCCCCTGGAAGCCTTGGGGAAGAGACACTGCCAGCAATTGGGGACACAGCTGAGGAGGCACCAGTGGCCCCAATGCAGCTGTTCAAGAGGAAGGGAAGCCCACTTACCCACAGGGA